CCTTGCATTTCACTGACCTTCTACCATCATGAAACCCCACCAAAACAGAGCAGGTTCCCTCAGGAATTGAGGCATCTTCCAGTCTGCCCACTGGATTTACATTCCGTGGCATTTCAGTGATGTTCTCACTCGAGCGATGCTGCAAATTCTTAACCATGGACCCAATGGGGTACATTTGACATTGTTAAATCTTCATCTATTGCTGTTTTGGAGCTTCTACCCATCTGAACACAAGACCTTTTGTTTCATTGTTCAGTGGTCTCTACAGCTACCAAAAGGGGAGAGCTGCACCTTCCAGCCTGGTGAGTATTCAAGAAGTGAGTGCTGAAGGTTGGGTGACATTGCCAGGCACGTCCTTGACCCAATGGAAATGCATTAGGGAGAGACAACAGCCCCCGGCTCGGTGTCCAGGGAGCTGGGGTGATTCACACCCACAGGCATTGGTCTTCTTCATCAACAGAGGAAGTCTTAATGAGTAGATTAAACTGAACACCTGGGATGGCTTTGACTCACGTTGACAAGACAAATCTCTCGCTCCTAATCACCAGCCCAAGGAGGTGAGGCTGAGCCAACGCTCCCTGGGCCTTTCTGAATGACAATTGCAAAGTCAAAACAATAGGGCTTTTTCAGCTCTTTCAGAGTAAAGATTTCGGGATAGAAAGACACATTACCATGCACTCAGAAATTGCCTTCAGCCCTTCCAAAGGGGGAACTACACTTGGAGAAATCTTCATGTTCTCTCTATACCAATCTGGAGACAGCCAGTAGTGATGTTCCTACATCCTCTTTAGTCCCGCTGAAGACATTTTCATTGCAAGTCACAAAATGAAGGCTAAACCTCCTTATAACATCAAACTTTCTTATATCAAGCTCTCTGAAAGGGACGTACACCTTGAACCTTAGCGAACCATAGGACGTGACTGCAGCACCGAGATTCACCAGGCTACTAATTGAATGTGTAATTGCAACTTGCATGAGTCTGAGGGGCTGGTGGTATAAATTAGTTGCGTAAACTGATACTCTTGCCCTATACAGGTGGAATAATTTGACATATTTATAGCATGACTTTTTTATTTGTAACATCTTAGGCTCACAGTTCATGTTGTGTTGCCAGCGCAACCGGCAATATCAGTTAAAATATTCTGCTGGCAAATATTAGAGTCTTCAAGCTAAAGCTTGCAACTTCTCAGATCCTTTAAGTTCTGAACAAAGGTTTATCAAAAGCAAAATGCATATTTGAATCCAAAGAGCAGAACAAAAGTCAATTGTTCCAGCTCTTTCACTCAGCTGGAGCTAATGCATGCTCTAGATAGGAAGACTGCATCCCAAATCAGAAGTTGGACTGAGAGCTGTGTGCTCCTTCCTGTACCCCATTATACGTTCAGGCTGTGTGGGAGACGCCTGGAACACATCACAGACTGCAATTAAACGTCTGCCAACTAACTGCACTGAATTGGCCCCACTTCCAAAATGTCTCACCACAGCTCTGTGAGAGGAGCAAGATTTTGGGCATGGGTTGTCCAGTGTTGGGTGACACTTCTCTTGGTCAACCTTCTGCTCATGATCTCAGTTATCAGGCAGCTATGTGGAAGGTTCACTCAATGTCATTCAGATCTTTCCAAAGGACACTGAGTGTTTCTTCTGCTGGGACATCAAGCCTCAGGAATCACCAATTTGTTGTGAGTACAAACACGGGAGATGGGAGAGCACTTTGAAGCAAAAAAAAAAAGACGTTTTTGACTGAAAAAAAAAACCAACGGGAGGGATTCATCCTACTTTCATCTTATAGAGAAGAAGGACAAAGGAAGGAAAGAAGGAAAATATTTTGATGGGTTGAATGAATCATTTTAATGACTTGCAATCTCTCCCTTTGTCAGCGTTCTCCTGTATGTGCTGCTGAGAATGGAATTCATTATGAGAATATGAGAAGTTCACTAATTTGCTTGTTGCCTCTGGAGGTGAATCTGAACTAGCTCTTAAAATGCATTTTATGCGATAGTCTCAAAGAGCTGTGTTCCATCTCTGTAATTACAGACAGCCATAAAGAACTCATTGCATTCAGACAAGACAATGGCAATAACCTACCTGTGCTAACAGCATTTGATAGACATAAGATTGGGTCACAATATGTATTTTCACACGCACACACAGCTACAAGGACTATGTAGTCTCACTTGTCTGTGACATTCATGAGATGTTCAAGACTTGATTTGATTGGTGCATCCCTGTTCTCATGCATCCTAAAGCCAAGAGAATTCAGTGTGGTAATGTGCTTTTTCCTCTCATACCCTCTATCTGCTCTATGTTTAGAAGTCAAGGCTGGGATTTCCAAAGAACGTTCCTCAAAAAACGCATCAAACACTGGGCCTGGATTCACCTCCCTCCCAGCTTCAGCCATCAAACTCGCTATGTATTCTAATTTCCTCTTCGAGACTCCCTCTACGGCTCATGGAGGGAGATAGGCATCTCCAGACGGTGACTCATCACTACCTAAAATAGGCAGCAAAGACAGGTGGGAGGAATCAGCCTCTGGAGGCACTTGCCTCGCTCCTTACTGACGACCAGAGGCAGTCTAGACAACCAGACAAGAGCCCCGGCGCCCAGCTGCTGGATGGGCACAGCTGGGCGAGATGAGTCCCACCCTTTGGGTGCCACATTTCTTCATCACCTTTGAAGTCTTAATGAGAGCACACAACATCACACGCTCTTCTGGATGTGCTCCGTTCCCCGTGGATGCATATGTCCTATCTCCGTGCTGTGATTAGCGCCTATAAAGCCAAGGCTTGCGACAAAGCAAAGGGTTGTTTTGATCTTCTTCACACTGATGCCTTCCCCCCACACAGCAGAAATAAAGGTGTGGTGTATGGGAATCCAGGCCCTCAAATGGGACAGTATCCAACTGCCTGTTGGAAGAGAAAAGGAAAAGAAAACATTGCAACTGTCACTGGGCAACAGCAACATCCCTATAAACATAGAGCTCTTCCCTCAAAGCTGTTTTCTTTGGGAGATGAGGTTCCATGAGCACCACAGGAGGAAGGAATTGCCTGTGGAAGATGGGTCAGGTCCTCCTGGGAAGCGTAACCAAGGGATAGGTTCTTCCCTTTGTAATGTGAAGGCACCAGTGCCCCAGCCCCTGTTTGGTTGGGTTTGCGGAGCTGTGTGATCTATGCCTTCTGAATTTCTGATGAGTGCTGGTTCATGAAGCATGGCTGGAGGAGAGAGTTGGGAGAATCTTAATTCTACTTCATCTCCCTGACTTCTCTTGTGACAGAATCATCTGTTTTCAGTGAGAACACTATAACCTTTATGAGACACTTAACCCCCTCTTAATGCATGCTTATGGTGCTCAATTGTTCCTTCCTTGTCAAAGCTTTCCCATGATTTTATTCCCTAACGATTGTGACTGTTCTGTGCTCCTGATTTTCTGCTCATATTTGATTGGGAAGGAGGAATGGTAGAGAGAGAGAAGGGTCTTCCAGTCCCAAATCCCAACAATTGCTTCAGATAGAAAAGGACCTCCCTCTGGATTTTGTAAAACACCTCTCTGTCGACTTGTGCCTGTATGGTTCGTTTCTTTGCTCTGCCAGCTCGCTTTAATTGCTTTAATCACAAAACAATTCAGTCCTCTGTAGTTGGTTTAACACATTAATTTGTTGGCTTCTTTTCAGAAGAACAGATTCAGGCACACAACAAATGTCATCCCCTGATCTGTTTTAAAACCAGTTTAAAACTTGCCATCACTAGATTTCCAAAATGATGCTGAAAACATCAACCAAGCACATTCCTGGTATTTTTCCAATAATGTCCCCATTGCAGAAGATTTGAGCAGTGATAAAATGTGCTTTATCATCATTCCTTGGTAGCATACGTGCTATAAAAATACAAAGCAGCTGAGATGACTTCTCCATGAGTCTTAAAACTCTCATTAAATAGAATGGGTAGGAGCCAAACTTGGTGCAAATTGGCATAAAAAAGCTGGCTTTAAAAGGCTTCAATAGTTTACAATTAGCAATGTTTGGATCTGCATGACAGTCTCCGTGCAGCCCACTTAGTTGTTGAGGCTTCTCAACAGCAGATCTGCCTCTTCCAATGAAGGAATTTCTGTATCTTTGTTTAACACAGCAAATGAAGTGGCAACACATTCATTCTCCATGCACTTTATTGGAACAAGAACAAATATTGCAGAGCTCCAGTCATCCAGACACAAGCTAGGGTGTAGAAATGGATGCATATGTCAAAGTGCAGACTGCCTGTCAGGACATAAAGAAGGAAGCTAACAGAAATACAAGAAATATAATTAGTTTTTGCTGGCTACAGAAGGTGAAATGCCTTTTTTTTTTTTTTTTAATTGAGATTTCTTTTATGACTTTCCTGCCTGCATGGGGATGACAAAGATGCTCCAAGACAATGCACAAAGAGCACACGGGAGTCTGGCCCCTCCTCTCTTGCTGAAGCACTCCAGGGAAAGGCTTTCACATTAAATGTCATAACTTGTTTCATAGAAAGCAAAGCTTTAATTGGGAAAAAAGAAAAGGCTGGTGGGAAGCTGAGATTGAGTGATAAGTGCTTTTAGAAAAGCAGCATGTTCTAAGCATCCCTTTTTTGATGTAATCCTGGTAGAGCTGCTCTGATGTGATTTCCTGATGTCTGTCCCCCTCGTGCAAGGTGGAGCTGAGGTGGAGCAGAGCTTTCATTTTCTACTTTGGATCTTGCATCCTCTCAGATCTGGAGCTCAGACACGGGTGGTGTTCCTGGAGCACGGCATCCCAGCTGAGATCCTCGCTCCTATCCAGCACGGTGCTGATGGCTGAGCTGAGCTCTCTGAGCTCCCTGCAGTCCCACAGCAGAGCTCAGCATTGCTCACGTGGGCTGAGCTCTGGCACGCATGGGACCCACCTCCACAGCTCTTTTGGTGGCCCCTTGGGAAGCAGCCACATCTGGGAGCACTGGGGAGATATTTCTTGCCTGCAGAGCTGGTGGACCCTCTGTGGCAGGCACCATCATCCCCAGGTTGGGATGCTCTGCTGGCACCAGGGGAGGACCCATGTCTTCTGCTCGCTGCACAAGGTCCACTTCCCAGGCTGGTGCTGCAGCCAGAGGAGGTGTTGCACGGTGTTGTGATCACTGCCATAGGGAAACACAAACTGAGTGAACCACTGAACCACTGAGTGGGAATTATTTCCATGTGAATAATGCAAATCCTGCTCTATGTCCCTGCAAATCACCCCCTGGCTTTTGTAGTGTTGTAAGGAAAATGGAAAACCTGGAGCTTACTTACACATTCTCACAGGGCACCCAGTGCGTAACCTGAATGACAAGAAAATCATAGAATCATTAAAGGTTGAAAAGACCTCTAAGACCATCCAGGCCACCCCCAACCCATCTGACCATGTCCCTCAGTGCCACATCTCCATGGTTCTTGAACCACTCCAGGTATAGTGACTACACCACCTCCCTGAGCAGCCTGTGCTGGTGCATAACCATTCATTCTTTCAGAGGAGAAATTGTTCCTAACAGCCAACCTGATTCTACCCTGGTGCAACTTGAGGCCTATCTCTCATCCTACCTCTGCTAGTTGGGAGAAGGGAGCAACCTCCACCCCACCACAACCTCCTTTCAGGGAGTTGAAAGGAGCAATAAAGTCTCCCCTGAGCGTCATCTTTTCCAAACTGAACAATGCTAGTTTCCTTAGCCTCTCATCAAACATTATCAGAACGTTATTCATCACATAACTAGCATCTCTAGTGTTTTCCAACCTTCTTGTCTCTGCTAAGAGCCCCAGGAGCTGAGGACTACTCGCACATTGTAGAGGAACCCACCTGCTCTCTTCACCCTCCAGCAAAGTCTTATAGGTGGCAATCTCAATGTCCAGGGCCACCTTGACATTCAGCAGCTCCTGGTAATCCCGCAGCATGCAGGCCAGCTCATCCTTGGCCTTCTGGAGGGCATTCTGCAGCTCGTTGTGCTTCTCCTGTGCATCCTTCAGGGCACGGTCCCCACGCTGCTCAGTGTCACTAACTGATGTCTGCAGAGAGGACACCTGTGTGGGCAATAAATGAATCCTTATTTTCCATAATCATCTGCAAAACCTAAATTCTCTCCTCTTTCAGGAGTCCCAAATTGGGAATTATTGGTGTCGCTTTTCCAAAAGCCAAACATTTCCAAAACCAAGTATCGATTCTGAAATACTAGAGAACGGCTGAGCACGTCTCCTCACTGTGCTAAGCTTTGTTTCGAGGATACTAACACTTTGTTCTAATTGGAACTAATAACTAAGGTTTTCCTTTACTTCCCGTTATAAAATATTTAATGAATCAGATGGTCTGAAAATTGCACGGGTTACTATGGGTGCTGAATTACTGGTGACTCATAATTCTACCCAACCTATTGGATGCTTTGAACCTGTGTTAGAAGCATTGCCTCCCGCTGGAATTCTCACTGAAGCAATTGTCTGAGTGCTGCAGCAATTCCAAACATCTAATATGGCACAATTATTTTTTTGCAATAATCAATCCAACAGAGAATTGGCCAGCAGATAACCCTTCTTCCCTGCTTGGCAATGGTAAGTTCTTTATAGCAATGAGACCATGCTCTTAGGTGAAGACAGAAGAAATGCAAGAGATGCAGAAAACAAGACTTGGGATCCCACACTTAGGATAAAAAAAAGGTAAATTTTCAGGGTAAATGCAGCCCATCGTACCTGGTTCTTCACGTTCTCAAGGTCACACTGCCATCTCTGCATCACAAAACTCAGCTCCTCAATCTCTTGCTGGTGGGACTTCAGTTCACTGCATTGCTTCCTCTTTGCCTCCTCAAGCTCTTGGTACTGACAGAAAAGACAGAGCTGGCAGAAAGCACTGGTGGTGTTTGCAACATAGGAGCCTTTCCTCTGTTTCCAAACTTGAGGAAAGTTCTCATGCATAGCAATTCCTGAGGCTGTCAGCAGCAGCAAACAGAGCATTCCTCCTGCAGCCCTCAGAGCCCAACTTACCCACCACCTCCCCATTCCCTGCATGGCTGAGTGCTGTCCTACTGCACTGTGTGCGTTTTGGGGATGTTCTCCTGACTTGGAGATTCCATCAGGTTTAGCAGAATGGAAAGCTAAGTCTGGAAGTCACATACTCAAGACACAGTGAATGAAGTCATTGCCTCTGAGCTACTACATTTGGCACCTACAGAGCTAATGATGTGTTCCTGGTTGTTACAACTTACCCTAGCTCTGTACAGTGCTTCCAACTCCGCCTTGCTTTTCTGTGCTGCATCTTCATACCAGAGCTCAATGCCTTTGAGGATGCCTTCTGTGCCCAGGCTTTGGCTGTTGTCCATTTTCACCACAACAGAGGTGTCACAGAGACTTTTCTCCAGCTCAGCAGATCCCTAGGAGCCATAAGAAGAAGCTGTCAGCACTTCTTATCTCACATTCCAGTGGAAGAGCCACCATCACTGAGAATTCATCTGGAGCCACAGCCCATGAGCTGTGGCTTGATTTGGTCATGCATGCAGCTAGAAGGAATTCTTTTAAGGTCTCGAAGCCTTCCTTGTTCCCATTGCCTCTCAAAGAGAACCTGCTGGGTTGGTTTAATCAGGCCTACATCAGTGTAGACAAGGAGAGGTTTATAGGAACATCTGCAAGAATGGGAGAGGAACATCCATACCTGAGCAGACACACACTTCAGGAGCTCTCTCTGCTGCTTGAGGGTTTCCAGCTTCGCTTCCAGCTCTGCTTTGGTGAGGTAGACACAGTCCACATCCTAAAAGAGTTCCAGCATTGAGGGTAACTTCATTATGTTTTTAGCCTAAGAGATTTTGTTTAGGTGATATAATGGGGAATTTTTTCTGAATTCACACTTGTCCAATGACTTTCAGCATTCTCAAAACCTGATCCATGTCTTGCAAGCACCAGGTCTGAGGAAACTCCTTGGATACCTCAACCCGTCCTTTCTGTCCACCCAAATTCCTTACCTTCTTCAGCAGCACAAGCTCATTCTCAGCAGCTGTGCACCTGTTCACCTCCTGCTCATATCTGTTGGGGAAGAGATGGGACCAGTTGCTGGGTCACCCTGAGGCTGCAGCCTCGTCTGCGTACTGGGGGAGTTTGGGGTGCTTTGGGATCTCAGCCTTTATCAGACATAAGTTAGTTGGTACTGACAAAAAGAAGTCCAGCTGGATAAGCTGTTTGAGCTCTCTGCCCTGGGAACTCACTTGCATTTGAGCTCTTCAATGAGCTTCTCGGTGTTGTTCAGCTCCAGCTCCATCTGTTCCTGCTCATGCAGCAGTGAGTCCAGCCTCCTCTGCAGGGTGCAGATGAAAGTGTTGAAGACATGCTTGAAGTTCTTCTGGGATGGCAGGAGGTGCTTTTGGAGGAGGGCCCATTTGGTGGCCAGTAGCCTGTTCTGCTGCTCCAGATGCTGCACCTGAGTTCAGAATGCAAAGCACGTGTGAAGACATATCATATGGGGACCAGATGAATGTGAGGGAACACACATTCTCTTCTGAGTTTATGCTCCAGGGACAAATTATGGTTTGAAGGCAACAAGAGGACAAAAGGGGAGTGCTGGAGCCTTTGCAACCCAAGAATGCTAAAGCAAGCTGGGCGTGATGCTCTGCCATTCTCCAAGGAAGCCCCACAGCCTTTGTGGCTGCTACAGGATCCATGGGCTCTTTAA